GCTTCTGAACATCAGAAGTTGATTCAATGACTTTATTAAAGGGGAATAGCTTGTTTTTCTCTGCCTTTTCCGAAATATACAAACCATACTTCTAAATAACAAAACATTCCCTTCCTTTTCCTCTTCTTCTTCGACGTAGTTTGAAGAGAAAATCATCTGCTGTTGCATGTAAATAGTTTATTAGTTATTACTTTTCTCATTAATGAAATTATACTCAACGCTTATCACTGATACTTGAGAAGTTAATCCAAACAATTTTTGGATAATAAATTTCATTTTATGAATACCTTTTACTACCATGTCATCAATCAGGCTTACTCATAAGGTTTTTTTTCTTTCAAAATAGGAATTAGATTCGACAGACTGATATGCTGCACGCACATGTTCAAACCTTGACTGGCTAAATCAACCAATCAGAGTAAAGCCTAACATGAAATAACCATTGAAAATAAAGTGGTCTGATTACTATCCACCAGTCTGCCCATTTTAGTTTACTAAGATATATAACGTCATTTTGATTAATATGAGCAATTGTGCACTCTCTCTTACTTATAATCTATATATGGTAAGATTTTAAGCAGTACAAAGAAGCATCATATTTACTAAATATTATTTTGTGAAAATAGTAAATATTGAAATGGACAGGCCTAGGATTGATTGTTCCGTAAAGTTAGTTCTTGAAGAATCAGTTCCTTATATATATATATATATATATATATATATATATATATATATATATATATATATATATATATATATATATAGACGTAGCGACAAAAGGCAGCCAATAGGGGGGTTGTTTTCAAGTCATGACCAGATCATGTTCAGGTCATGATTTATGTGCATGCACTGACATGAGAACCTGATTGGAGAAGTTTGACCTCATACAAAAAATCTGATTGGTTCATTTATGGCTTCACTTTCTGAAAGTTTTATAAATACATATGTGTCATGTATTTGCCTAATGAAAGTTGTCGACGTTCTTGCAGTTACAGGCCATTTTTGTCTTCTGATTTTACTTGGCTCAGTGAAGCAGAAGGTACTGAGGGAGGTCAGTTGTCTATGGGGTCTCAGTATTCATTATACCCCACCACTCGGTCACAACACGTAGCAACTCAGTAAGAATTCATTTATACTATCTGCATAGAAGAGCTGATTATTTATACTGACCTACAAAGACATTTTGCATTCTAATAAATGTTCTAGAAATTGTGTTACCTTCTGAGTCTCATTTTGCATTAGCATACCTTTCAAGGTCATTGACAAGGAAGTAATAATCATACAATTCAACAAAGATTCATATGGATTATTCCTTCATCTTGATGTAGGAAAAAAGTAGTTAATTCGTCTTCCACATCTTGTTTACTTACCCAGTCATTCACCAATCACTATCCGATATTTTATCGGTGGATTGACAAATGCATAGTCTTTGTATTCCAGCCAGATCCACAATCTTTGTGTTTATACATTCCATGGGTTTTCGTTAAACCAACAGCGGTTATTTACTTAAATCTACTCTTCCTATTTCCTTTATTGAAATTGATTCTCACTACAATATCTGAAATATGTGCTCTAGTTAGCTACTGATCACAATTGAGTTACCAGAGAAGCATGTTATGACACAAAGTATATGTCTTTTATCCTAATATTCAGCTCCTCAGTAGTTCACGTCCACAACCTCATCATGGATGGAATAAATCCTTTCAGGTTTCCAACAGTTCTCCAAGTGATGTTAGTCCGTAGTATATACAAACTTGAAATCAACAAATCCAGACGAAAACCCCTAAATTGAACTTAACACTCATTGGTGACTAGCTTCCTGAAGTTCGAATAGAAAGTCATGACCGGCTAAGTAAACCAAGTGGATCTGAGGAGAAATACTCAGCGATGACAATTGGATCCCGACCCACTAGCTTGCTGGTGACGTGCTGGCCGTGCAAACCGGAGGTCACGGGTTCAACCCCCTGCGGGGCCACGGGTAAGAACTCCTGAGAAGTCCTATGCTTGGAAAAAACAGATGTTCAATCCTCTCATTGTTTCTCCAAACGATCTCAGTCCATGATGAATAACAACTTGGAATTTATTCTTGACTTTAACAGTGATTCCCTATGTAAGTAGACATTATGGTCGATCTATTTGTCGGTAATCTTGAAGTTCTTCATAAAGTAAGAATATCCAACAACCAAATCGTAGATTCATGAAGCATTTCGGAACAAATTAGACTGAAGTCAGTATCACTAAGCGAGATTTCTCATTGAAAACAACTGACTTCAGTTTTATAATCAGCGAGCTGTTTTCAAAGTAACATACGCAAATATTTGAGCGTATGGTAGACCGCCTAACTGACCTTACTGATAATTAGATTACTATGGAGAGAGAGAGGGAACTTCAGATCATAACGAGAATTAGCAGTAAGCTAATGGAGACATGTGGTAAAAAAGTTTGACCAAAAATATTGTTATATTCCAACAGCAATTATTGTCTTCAAATGATTTAAACTGGTTCAGTATTCCAGAGGGACTTAGGTTATCTATTCACTAAATATCCGTTATTGCTTTCTTCGTTCTGTTCTCTAATGAATTAGTGGAGGTGTGCCTGAATTCAATGTCTCTTCATTGGTTTCAACTGTAGATTGTAGCACAACGGCAAAACACATCTTTTTCAACAAACAACCACAAAGAATGTGAATGACAAATCAAATCAACCAATCAGAATGAATTATTTCTGATTAGCCAATCATAACTTAACAAAACAAAAAACAGCTCTTAAATTCAAATGAGATTACTTTACCATTTTGAAAGTATACTGAGAAGATGATTGCTATACGCCCCTAATTTTGCATAGCTTTTCCCTGATGTTTTGTTTATTACTTTAAAATAACCTACGTGGCTATTTTCAAAACGTCACTAGTTTCTCTTCCGTCTGCTCTCAAGGCTCAACTCTCATTGGTTGTTGACTATATGTGGATTTAGTGTTGTCAAGGTCATTTAGAAATGTATATATATTCAGCACCGCTGTCAACTGTTTTGACTGTTGTTGAGACAATAAACAGATCTCTGTCAACGGTCTGTCTTGTCTTCTTGTCTTCCTCCGTCCATGGTATTGTTTCCGTGTGGTTGACGTTCTGATTTGCGTTAGAGTCGGTTTTTTGCATGTTACACTCATACTACCTGTCAAAGCAATGATAACAGCTATGCTACTGAAAATTATAGCTAAAACGAAGTTTCCTGACAGCAGAACTTAATAGGGATCGTAATCTTGGGTTGTATATATGTTTGGGTGTGGACGATTGAACAATAATCTTCGGATTCCACTCTTGATAGTCACTCATTTCCTTGACAAATAAAACGTAGTAACACAAGGTGCATGACAAAGTGAAATATGGTGACCTTGACTATTTCCTATTGAACTTCGCCTCTTCAACCAATCCAGTATTATTGCATGTTTCGATTCAGGAGCTTTTTCTTGAAAATTCGTAAGAACACAGTTAATTGTGAAAAGCCTCGACGATTTAAAGTTTCTCATGAAGATGTGAGCAATCTTTTTCCACACTATAGAAAAATTATATCGGCTTACACATTATCTACAATGGCCTTCGTTTATTTCTAGGCCTATTCATCTATCCATCTCCACTTCCTTCCACTGCATATTTCTTCAGCAATAGCTTCCTGCTTCGTTGGTTCGTCATCAGTCAGTCAGAGTTCCTTATTGCTTATTCTCATTATTCTCGCCATCTGATATCCATCTTCAGTATCGAGTCAGCATAGGCGGTAGTTGTTCATGAATATCTGTAGTTTGTTGGAAATGCCTTTCGTAACGCGTCAAGTCTCTCAAGCATCACATAGAAGCAGTGACTTGAGTGAATTGGTGTTGAAAATCTGGATGTTGTTCAGGCTGTGTGCTGAGTGCAGTGCAGTAGATCTCCACACTGGTTTCAGGTTAATGAAGGCCTACCTGTCTTGCTGTCATTCCAATCCTGGATGGCTTTAACGTCCTCGCCTGTGCCTGTGCCACCACCTGTAGTTAAAACGATGCTGACTAGGTGTGTAGGTGAAGGAGGCTACTTCCTTCAAGTTTCTCCCATTGATGGTGGTTGGAGCTTCTCGTTGTTGTTGTTGTTGTTGTTGGTGGTGGTGGTGGTGGTGTTGGTGGTGGTGGATGTGGTGGTGTTGGTTGGGTATCTTCATCACCTGTGTCTTCTCCACGTTCACTTGAAGTTCCGTCTTCCTTCGCTGCCCTGCCTCTCCTGTCAACGTGTTAGTTTTTGCCTGTAGATCTTCGAGTTTGTGTGTTATTAGACACAGGTTGTCGGTGAGATGGAAGTCTTCGAGGATCTTTTCGGCGGTGCAGTCAGGGTATCTCCCTCTTCTCACTCCTCACTGTTTGTTGCATGATCCAGTTCAGTGGACCAGAATGAGGAATATCATGGGTGATAGTATGTGGGAACCTTGTTTTACTGCTGTCTTCACTTCGAAATCATCACTGAGCTTTCCAGTATGAATATACCTTACTAATAGCCTTCAAAATTCTACGTAATTCAGCGTAGTCTTTTTGCCGGATTCCAAGACAGAATAAGGTAAGAACAATAAGTTGGTATAATCAAAACACGCTTGAATTAATGAAATGAGTAAGAGTAAAGGCTTAATTATGCCAGACCTTTTGAGTTTCCTGATATAAAAAGTGAAGTGAAAGATTTTCCAGGAAGTTAGTAAGATATGACGGAACCAAGAGAGATCAGAAGAAAGACAGAAGCCAAGATGGATCACATGCGTTACATTCTGTCCAACAAAGCTATCAATAAGAATAGAGTGATTGCATTAAAGTCATTTACAAAGGACTTGTTCACGTCTTAGGCTATAATTAACCGTCTGATACTTGGAAAGAAAGACTCTGAATGAGTAAGAGTTCGACTGCGCTACAATATATATATATACCACTACTACCTGATTAAAAATGATTATCTTTTTTTAATCCTATATATATATATTTTTCATTTCTAGTGACTGAATTCACACCACAATTACCACTGTTCTTCACGATACTACTTTTACAAATTTCAGTAGTTTCCAACAGTACCATAAAACATTATCTTTTAATACATGGTCCAATGCATTCACATGCTCTAATCAATACAACTGTACAACTTAAATGTCGTGTTCATTTATTGATTCAGAATACAAGTAATCTTGAAGATATTTATTCAGAAAGTATACCATATAGTCATTTAAATGATATACAATTGAGAACATCTACATTATCATCTACACCATCTATTTGGCAAGTTATTAATCCAAATTTATTGACAAATAAATTAAAAATTATTGTTCAATGGATGAAAGATGGTTTTGGATATGATCGTGATACATTAAAGGAGACATTCAATGGAAGATATACAATGATTGAATCAAAGGAAAAAGGTTAACCTATCAATTGTATACAGTTTAATATTACAGAAATCTTTATAAAGTGTATCGAAACTTGTTTGAATAAATGCGAAACCAAGTTTATTGGATATATCAGTAAATAGCCTAAAAGATAAAACTGGTTTATTTGAGAAGAGATTTCCTCACGTAAAGGTGACCTTGGAAGTCCTGATTACACCCACGTTCCCGTCTGGGGTCTTGTCCAGGACCTCCGTGTCCCGTAGCCAGCAAGTTACTATTGAGTCATTCGGTAGTGTTCCAACAGTCCGGATTTTCTTAATCTGTCAGTTCTAACGGTTCCTCAACTGATATCCCGTGTATCTACTTAGCCTATATCTCAGTTGGATAGGAGCAAACCATATGCCATAGCGTAGCAATCCAACCTCTTCTTGAAACTGTCGCAAAAGTAGCAAATGTCAATCTTTTGATTCCTTCATCTTTATGCTAAGACTACTTTTCAATAGAAATGAGTAATCTATCCTCCTTTGTGACTTGATTGAGTAAATTCATCATCAAAAACGTTGAAGTACATGTTTCTGAGGTCATCTATGACACAGTGTTCATTTCATCCTATATTACTAAACGTAATGCAGTTGAAGACAGGAGAGATAATGTATGAATTAGTCGTTGGAGGGAAACCAACTTCACCTTGCCTAATCCTGAGTTATGTAGGAACTCGACTAATCATTTTGTAATATGACTGCGACATCGGTTAGCAGAGACTAGATTCTCACAGGAGATATCAATTCGCTGGTGGTTAAAGATACACCTTACTGATGATTACCAACAAGTATGGAGCATAGGTTCAGCAGAGCTTATCATCGATTCTCTTCAACCAACTAATATAAGACAGATATTCTGATTCCTGATGGCATTTTATCTTGACCAGAGATGAAAGAAACTGAGGTATTGTTTGATATAACTCATAGGCAAAAATTCCTCCCTCTTTCTTATCCATCCACTAACTACATCACGTCTCATATCATGTGACAGGAAGTCCCTTAAATTGTTCAACCCCTTCTCATTTCATGGTCTTGGTTTTCAGTTTCGTCGACTCCCTCTCTGTTTTTCTTTTCATTTTCCTATCTTGACACTATTCATGTCTTAAGTAATTTGCTATTCATTCTTGTTGCTATGCTCTACCTGGCCACAGTTCACTTATCAATTATGTCATCGTCATGTTACGAAACACCTTCTTGTTCAAGCTTCTGTTGATTAATATTCGCTACTCATCAGTAATTTGATAGCTCACATGATTGACACTATATGTGATCCCTGCCATACTTGACCAAGCACCCATTTTAACTACCAAATCCTTATGATAATTTGGTTGATTGTGGCTAGTAGAAGAATCCAGGACGCGCATTTCGTCCTATTTAAGACTCATCAGCCGGATGCGCCTGCACCTCAGTGATGTTGTTCCCACTGAGACTCGAACCTCGTACCAATCGCTTCAAACGCCAAGCCATTATCCAAATAGGATAAAACGCGCATCCTGGATTCTTCTGCTAGCCACAACCAACCAAATTATCATAATTAACATCCAGGCAATATCGAGGCATCCGCATAGGAGCCCATATGCCAGTAGAGGTAGAACAATTCGATCCAACAAAACAACGGGGAATAATAAGCATGTCACTTGGGTTCCTAGTGGAACATAGGAATTCAGTAGCACGTCTCCATTACACTCTCTTCTCTACAATATTTTCAACCTGGCTCCACGACTGACCAGGAGCCCTCATTTCTTCCTCATACGATATCCTCCATGTCACCCTCACCTCGGACACCCAACTCATCATTTCCCATCTGAGTTACACTCGAGTGCTTGGCCTGGCACGTGATGTCCCCAGTTGGCCTCTTCAGGGTATGCCAAATCCAAGCCAATCCAATCCATCTCCATTTCCTCCCACTGCATATTCGTTCAACAATAGCTTCTTCCTTAGTTGCTTCGTCACCAGTCAGTCAGAGTTCCTTATTACTTATTCTCATTATTCTCGCCATCTGATCTCCATCTTCAATATCTAGTCAGCATAGGCGGTAGTTGTTGATCAATATCTGTAGTTTGTTGGAAATGCCTTTTGGTGATGCGCCAAGTCTCTCAAGCATCATATAGAAGCAGTGACTTGAGTGAATTGGTGTTGAAAATCTGGATGTTGTTCAGGCTGTGTGCTGAGTGCAGTGAAGCAGATCTCCACACTGGTTTCAGGTTAATGAAGACCTACCTGTCTTGCTGTCATTCCAATCCTGGATGGCTTTAACGTCCTCGCCTGTGCCTGTGCCACCACCTGTAGTTAAAACGATGCTGACTAGGTGTGTAGGTGAAGAAGGCTACTTCCCTCAAGTTTCTCCAGCTGATGGTGATTGGAGCTTGTTGTTGTTGTTGTTGTTGTTGGTGGTGGTGGTGGTGGTGACGGTGGTGTTGGTTGGGTATCTTCATCACCTGTGTCTTCTCCACGTTCACTTGAAGTTCCGTCTTCCTTCGCTGCCCTGCCTCTCCTGTCAACGTGTTAGTTTTTGCCTGTAGATCTTCGAGTTTGTGTGTTATTAGACACAGGTTGTCGGTGAGATGGAAGTCTTCGAGGATCTTTTCGGCGGTGCAGTCAGGGTATCTCCCTCTTCTCACTCCTCACTGTTTGTTGCATGATCCATTTCAGTGGACCGCGATCAGGAATATCATGGGTGATAGTATGTGGGAGCCTTGTTTTACTCCTGTCTTCACTTCACTTCAAAGGCATCACAATGAATAGTAATATTAAATTCTTACACTAGAAAAATGTATAAATTGGTTATTGTACAGGTTTGAGGATGTGAAATAGTTGAGAAGAAACTCTTCACTGAAATATACTTGTTCCTGTTTCGTATTTGAATTCAGGCGATCTTGATGTATTTGCGTAATGTAATAAGAAGACGGGGGTTATCTGAGAAATGTGATATGTTTTCGCATATTAACTTATCAAGACATTTTATATTAAGGATGATTATAGGATGGGATAAAGTGAATAAATTGAGGTAGTACAGAATTTAGAAAATATGGGGACAATGAGATGGCATAATACACTTCCACATCTCCCTTAGCATTGAAATGAGATAAAGATTACCAAGGTAGGTTTAAGGTAAGGATAAACTATTTTTGAATACAAAAAAGAGGGTTTGAACTTTTGTAAAGCTAAGGAACGCTTCAATGAACTTAAATATATGATCTTGACGGCTCCTATACGATAGTGTAAATACTGTTCTAGGGGTCAATCCTGTGACCTATTTCTATAATGTGGTTACCTATCGATAATGACGTCTGTTCGCGCCCTATATTTATCGGATTATTTGAATGTAATTGTTTTTGTAACCATTTAGGGATATGCGCTATCAGCCTTGACTTCATAGTTCTATTACTCCTCCAAATGTTTGTGTCACCACGCACACATACACACACACATACATGTAGATTCGTATATGAAGCGAGGTGTGACATCATCATTTATGAAGTCATGAGGTTTATTTAGAAGCATTAGGTTTCGTTTTCTAGATAACATTGAGCTCAGTAATGTAGTGTGTCTTTTTAATAACTGAGTTGTGTCTTCGTCTTAACATCATACTGTTTGATTCCTCCTTTTTACTGAAGTATGATGTAAACTTCCTTCTTCAGGACAGAATAATGATTAGTTCACACTGTTGAGATGTTTTTATAACGATTGATGAACTTCAGGGGATATGCGTTTCTCGGTTGTATTGTGTTCTCTGAGCTGGCTGGGTTGTTTAATCATGAAGAAGCTTTCATCGTCTTTCTAGACAGTGACACCACTAACTTCAGTATGAAGTGAGCTGTCAATATCTCTCCGTCAGTGGCTTAGTAGCTTGCCTCGACTGGTTGTTTCCTTTGATTGTTGTGTCATTGATTGTATAGACTTTCTTGTCGGCTGTTCCTCTGCTTCACCTCTGACCTTCCTGTCATTTATCATCTTTCTTATTGGTTGATAGATTGGGCCTATCATCTCTATACACCTGTCGATTGCTGACTGACCTGAGTGCCAAACTTCTAGGAATTCTCTGATATTCTTTGTGTTTCCTCTGTCCAAAATCTTTACATTTTCCAAACTGAATTTATGTCAATAGTTGTTATCCATATGCATTGAAATGAGTGAGGAAGTGTCGTGGCGTTTAATGGCCAATTGGTGTTCATCTAGACGAAGGGAAAAGAGGGCGACCACTTTGTTCAATGTAGTGTTGACTACAGTTAGCTATTGTGGTTGATTCCGTAAATGATATTCGGTTTGTCTTCTTTGGTTGTTACATCCTTTGGTCTGCATAATAGTGTTTGGAGGGAATTTCATGGTTTCTGAGCCACACCAATTCCACCAAGTGGTCTGGGTAATCTTGTTGCGATTTCTGATATATTCTTTATGTATGTTATGATGATGCGTTTGTTGATTTGTGTCGATGACTTTGTAGTTAGTGATGCACGGGATAGGCATCTTCTGATAAAGTCTCATGGGTAGCCGTTCTTCTTTAGAATGGACATCAGGTAATTTTCTTCGTTTCTCCGTGAAGTTGCATCGTGTCACAGTGTGTTCTCGCTCTTCTGAATAGAGTCTGCAAGCAAATGATTTTGTGTTGTTGCTATCGTAGTTGACGATTTGGTTATTGTGTGTTGGCTCCCTGTACACTTGGGTTTCCAGCTCTCTGGCATTTGTCCTGCTGACTAAAACGTCTAGGAATGGTAGTTGGTTGTTTGACTCTTTCTCCATTGTGACTTTGATGTCACTGAAAACGTTGTTGATCAAACTGTGAGTGTTTTCTGTATCATCTTTTTTAATAATGACGAAAGTTTCGTCCACATAGCGAATCCAAATTTCTGGTTTGATCACAGGTAGGATGATGGCTTCCAGTCTCTGCATCACTGCTTTTGCAATTAGTCCGGATATCGGTGATCCCATTGGAGTTCCTTTCATCTGTTTGTATATCTTGTCGTTGAATTGAGAGTATTTTGTCATACAGAA